TATTTGGGTTAAACTCGTGCTCATTATAATGTGGATCGTTATTAAGGGAGTGTATTTATTTGGGATTTTAAGTGACTTTTTAAGATTTGAGACTTTTTAAATTTTTTTTGATTTTGGAGGACTTCTGTGAAATTTTAAGTTTGGAGATAGGATTTGAAGTAGAATTTCGTATAATGTTATTTTGTTAAAAAATCCCAACAAATCTTAAAAAGTCTTAACAAATTTTAGTGTCAAATAAATTAAGTACCTCATTATTTCGTAAGACTTTTTAAAATCTCAATTGAACACCCCAAAACTTTTAGAAGTCTTAAAAATGTTAAACAAATCTAAAATTTGATACACTTAGATTTATAAAATCTTAAAAAGTCCTTAAAAATCTCAATTGAATTAAGTCATATTGTTTAAAGATTTTGCCCAAAATTTGATTCGTATCTTTTATTTGCGATAGGTATCATATTGGAAATAGAAAGCTACCAACATAGTGATAACTAGAGCTGCAAATGAATTAAGCTCAATCAAGCAATAGTTTGTTCAAGATAGGTTTGATTTGTTTTACAGCTACTCGAGCTCGACAAGCCAAGCATCGCAAATTACAAACGCTCGAGACTGGCTCGAATTTGATCGGTTCAGATTTCGCTTGAGTTCGGCTCAAAAAGTTTAACTAAAAATAACTAATTATATATGGGCGTTGAAGTAATTTTTCGTATATCCAATTTGCTCGTCAAACGCTTGAACATACAAACTGCATCAACGTGCTCGAGCTCGAAAATCGCTTCGTTTCAGCCCTAATTAGATAGCTGTTGGAAAAACCAGCTAGCTGGCTTTCTATCTATTTCTAGTATTTTGAAAAATAAGGCACCGAAAAATCAGATTATTTCAAAATCAAGATGCAATATATGTGATGAGATTGAGGAGGATCCTGCTAGATTATGCTCCTAATCAAGGGTCATTAGATTGTAATTAGATTGTAATTAGCTCCATGAGATCTCTCTTGGATTACTCGAATTGTAAATAAAATTATCTGCATGATTCTATTACGGGGATTTCATTTAATTACATATTTTTGGTAGATCGTAATGTGATTACACAAATTGCTATATAATTTACTAATTTAGTAATGAAAGATTTATGTGAAGCCTTGTCCAAAGATTTTGGTGATCTTTCGGGAAAAAAGAAAATATTCCCACCTCAACACTCAATATATTTATATATCCAAAAACATAAACTCTCGGGTGAGACATAATTGTTAAGCCGATTGACTCGTCATACATTCGCAACAAAAAATAAGTACTTATGTTGTTAAATCACATACATTTATTTACATTGTTTGAGTATGCATTTTAATTTTAAAATATGAACGTATGTTGAAAATAATATGTGTGTCTAATTAACCTTGCATAATATGGTCAACGGTCAATGGTTAATATCGAAAGTCAACAGTTAATGCAACATATTCACAAAATAGCCTTTTAATCCAAAAAAAATACGCATGCTTACATTTTTGCATCTCAAATTTTATTTCTTTGTTCATATAATCATTTAATTGATACAATATCATCATCTTATAATAATAATAATAATGGAAAATGCTACGGTCCCGTTACGGTACCATTCCCTTGGTAT